ATATTTTTAGGCCCCGAAATAATTTTTGGCGGGGGCCGAATGCCGTCGGGTTAGCGCCCCGTACGGGACCCCGAATGCCCGAACGTACGGGGGCCTCCGTACGTACGGGATGGTAACCCTGTATATATATATATATACAGGGTAACCGGCGTTCGGGACGGGCCGAACGCCCGAACCCGAATGCCCGAACGTATGGGACCCCTTGGGGATGCGTTCGGCCGTTCTTGCCGAACGCGGACCCAAAAAAAAAAAACAAAAAAAAAAACAAGTCATCAGAAAAATCTGAAAAAAAGATATGTTATGGAGAAAAATAAATTGAACAAGATTTGCCTGAGCATTATGTCCGAGTTCCTTACCAAATTTGAAATAAAAATAAAATACACAGAACAAATAGTGTCAAATACTAATAATAAAAATAAATAAAAATAAAGAGAGAATTAAATTTAGTGAGTGCGCGAGCATGTTTTCGACACCGCCATCTTTGGCGATTTGTTATTTTTTTTTGGAACAACTAAATTCCCTGGAAATTTATTTATTTATTTATTTATTATTTTATTTTATTTTTTTGTCGAGGCCGGGAACGTTACAATTTTACCCGGTGTTGACGAGATAAACCCTGCTGGAAACCGGGTCCAGCGTCCCACGACCACCCAAACTCAATAGGACAGAACTCCTCAAAATAGTCTTGAAGCACAGAAAAGGCGGTTGAACTGATTAATAACAAAACCTCTCCAACCCTTCAGCCTATAGCACCAAATCCTTGCAGCGCAGAAGAAGGAATACAACGCTAGCATGTTTCTACAGTCGAAACACTATTGGCCAAGGACTACAACTTATAATCTGCAAATCTCGAAAACGCGCAAGGCAATTCACGAGGAATTTTACRGTTTTATCCCTAAAATTATTCCAGAAGCAAACTAAATAATCCCAAATTTCAACCCAAACTCATACCAACTTCAAACTATACGTGGTAGTGTTATCTCCCAAAATAAACGAATAAATGCCAACCCATCCCAATTCCGTACAGATGAAAACAGCCACAAGTGGAGAAACCAAGAAATTCCTATGCAGAAGAAGGGAAACGAATGACTGCGTTTAAAGAGGGAGTACAAGAAAATTGACGATAATTTCCAATTGGCACAACGTCGAGCGTAGAACACTCCCCTCACCACTCAAGGCATGGGTGACCCCGTGACACCCTCCCTATTCTAAAGGTCAGCCATCCCTCCAACCATGACTGGGAATTAACTTACCTATTGCGCTTGGGTGACGGTCCCACCGCCACTAGTAAGCCTCCCACTCCCACTAATGGTGCCGCCACCCCAAGGATGTCAAAGCTGCTCAGACCCATCACGAAACTCGCCTTTATCATCTAATTTTACAAATATTGTCGTAGGTAATCTCCTTGGAACATTAGGCACCAGGATTCCCAGGATGACCAAGGGTCGAGCGTAAAACACTCCCCGTAGCACTCAATGCTTGGGTGACCCGACAATACTATTACTGGACTTAGAGAACTACCTCGTCTGCGAAATAAACTAAGATGTATCCTAAGAGACATAGTACCCTGAAAAAATCGATCACAGCAGGAAAATCCCAAGAGCTTACCACATATCAAGACCCAAAACAACTTCGACGTATATATTGATTTCCCCAATACTACCGTAAGTATTTTGACGGGAAATAGTGCGCAGGAAATCCCAAAAAAACAAGGGTCGAACGAAAAACACTCCCCGTCCAAAATAAACTACGAAAACCATCAATAGCGGGAAGATCCCAGGAGCTTACCGCAAGTAAAAACCCAAACGACTTCAAAATTCCCCACCATGTCAAATAAGGCAAGTAACACTAATCAACAAAAACAAATTACAAAGTTCAACTGCAAAACAACTCTAATCTCCATAAGACTCCGAGGTGTCACAAACCCAACAGAAACTCATATCTTCATCATATTCGATTCCAGAAACTGCCGTATTTATATGCATGAACCGCAGGGTTCCAGGATGGCCGTAGGTCGAGTGTGGAACACTCCCCGCACCACTCAAGGCTTGGGTGACCTATTGCAGACTCAACTAACGTAACAAGTGAACAACATACTGCCTTGCGACGAAGACACTCCAGCGAGACTTGCTGCAGCCCTCACATAATACAAAACCTATTAAAACAATTTCAAAAAATAATAAATTTGTTTAGACCCCGAACTAAAGTGAAAACAAAAAGTAAAAAGTGAAAAAAAACGTGGGCGAGCACGTTTTGACACCGCCATCTTTGGCGATTTTTAATTATTATTAAGATAAGCCAAATGACTTGAAAATTTATAGGCATGTACCTCACGTCATAGAGAATGCATACAAAAAACGTCAGGAAAAAAATATATATTTTTAGGCCCCGAAATAATTTTTGGCGGGGGCCGATCGTCGTCGGGTTTGGACCCCGTACAGCACCCCGAACGCCCGAACGTACGGAGGTCCGCCCCGGGGCCTCCGTACGTACAGGCTGGTAACCCTGTGTATATATATATATATATATATATATATATATATATGCAATCAGACTCGTTCTCAAACACACTTTTCATGCATGTAAACARCAACGCAGCATACAGGCGACATGCGGCCACTCAAAACTCAGAGAAATGGCTTTCAGACACGAGTTCACTCTCAATTGGCTATGGCAACTTCAACGCCCAAACATCTCACTGTTCACATACACTGGACCACCCTCGATATCCCACACGCATCACTCTAACACTCGAGCACACACACACACTCACTACTAACTACAGCTATGGCAGCTATCGCTGCATCTAACCTATCGCTAGACTAACTCCCTCTCTCTTGCCCACTGCGTCCTCCGGGCTCATCTGCAGACCTCCTTGCACAAGTTGCTGTGGCAGCGCTTCCGCATGGCTCACGCAGGAATGAATGAATGGTTGGGCGCTGCTTCTTGATTTATACTTCAGAAACTCGTTGGTCTGCCCTTTGTCATCGGCCCTTGGTGCTCACAGTCCCCCTGTGGTACTTGCTGGACCGGACTGGGACTGACTGGACCTTCCGCTGACTGACTGTGGACTCACCGCTATCCTACCGACGTTGTACTGCTGTTGCACTGCGGTTGAGTCCACCACTTGCCTCACCACTTGACCACTTGCCCACTTGCCTACCTTCTAGAAGGTCTACATCTAAGCTTCCGGAACTCACTAAGACTCCTACGCTATAGACCTATAGATCGAACCCCTACTGCCTATGGACCTACGACAGGCCTATCAACTGCCTACGAATACACAGGTCACAGGTTCAATTCCCGGGGTCTACACAGATACTGTACATGGGTAAGGTGAGGTCTAGGGCTCGAACCCTGGGTACTGCATCCGCTACTGCTAAAAGGTGAAAACCGTTTCACTCCCGCCGTCCTAAATTCGAGGTCCTCCGAGAAAATTTCAGTCCAAGGAGGGACCTTTACCTTTCTTGTCACGCTCATAGGCTCTGACTATGTCGGGAGCAGTCTCTAGAAGTTCTACTTTCGTGAACCAGCGGTCGTCTTCCGGTTCCCGATAGGCAAACCGGACTTTATACTGTTTCTGGGGACGACCTCTACCTCCTGTCCTAAACACATACTCTTCCACAATGTCGTCTATGTCATAACTCCCATCCATATCCGGTGGGATCATGGATCTCCTGGAAGGGAACTGTTGACTAGTGACACACGGCAGCAGCTTTGAAGCATGGAACACGGGGTATGTGTGGAGGTGTGCTGGAATCTCAATGTTGTAGGACGGTCCATCCTCTCCGCCCTTGACTTCTAGAACCGGCCACGGTCCTCTATATGCAGGCAGTAACTTCTGCGAGATGTTTTCTTCCGGTGCAAACTCTTTTGCTTTGACCCAGACTAAGTCGCCTACTTGAAACTGCGATGGGCGTCGGTGCTTGTTAGCCTATTCTATCATTCTGTGTTGGGCCTTCCGAAGGTTCTCAACAACAGTGGCTAACTCCTTTTCGTGCTGTATCGCAAACTCCCTGGTACCGGGCGGTAATCTATGAATCTGATCCCGGTTCAGTCCTTCGAACGGTCTGCGCGGTCTAAAGGACTTGTGCAACTCATTGGGAGTGCGGCGGGTGGATAGATGCACGCTGTTGCTGTACGCACTAGCGACCTTGGGCAACATCTCATCCCAGTTGATCTGATCTGGTCTAATATACATGCGCAGAACTTGCTGTAGGATCTTGTTCATCTGTTCTGTCTGACCGTTAGTCTCTGGGTGACGGCTGGACGACATTAACAACTTAGATCCGTAGACTCTCATGAGTTCTTGCCAGTTCTGGCTGGTGAAACAACTATCTCTATCACTAACTATTGACAATGGGATTCCATTCTCACTAACCCAAAAGTCAAAGAACTTCTATATTACTAAATTTGTACGTGCCTCTGCAGGCAAAGGAACAAAAACTGCATACTTACTAAAACGGTCGACTATGACCATGACTTGGCTCTTACATGTCTGCTCTTGACTTGCGTGTCCATGAAGTCTATGGACACTGAGTCTCCCGGCTGATCCGGAATAGGCAAGGGTCTGAGAAGACCTAGGGGCGCGAGTGTAGTAGATTTGTTTCGCTGGCATACTTTACAACTGCGGACATACTCTATGCAGTCGTTCTTCATCCCTGGCCATGTGTACCCACACATCAAATTGGCTAACGTCTTTTGCCAACCGAAGTGTCCCTCAGTATTGTGACATTCCCCTAGAATCAGACTACGAATCTCTTTGCTGTTGGGAATGCACAGGCGGTCAAACACATTAGTCTTCTCAAACGGCAACCCGTCTGTAGTGCGGTAATCTGGTTCGGTCTCTGGGGCCTCTCTAACTCTCTTTAAGAGGTCGCTATAGATAGAGTCCTGCGTATACGCTTGTTTCACTTTCTCCTGCAGGTCTCTCCCTATATCCAAATAATGTACTACGGCTCCAAAGTAGTCTGATCTCCTACTTAGAGCATCCGCTACTACATTGTACTTGCCCTTCACTGGCTTGAGCTCAAAGTCGAATTGGTCTATCTCTGCGGCCCACCTAGTCAACTTAGGTGTCATCTTGGCCTGGGTCTTTAGCCAACGAAGTGTCTCATGGTCAGAATCCACTTTGCAGTGTCTCCCAAGCAGATAGTGCTTCCAATGGTCTAAAACCTGCCTGAGAGCGTAGAGTTCTCTCTCGTACGTGGAGTTTGCAACCTTCTCACAGGGCATCCTCGCTGACATGAACTCTACGGGTCTATAGCCATTACCGTCGTCTTGCTGCAACACGGCGCCTATCCCATACTGACTTGCGTCCGCGGTAACGACAAATGGCAAGGACGGATCCGCTACTTTGAGGACAGGATATTCTATTAACGCGCGCTTTAACTTTTTTAGCGCTGACGTACAGTCCTTATCCCATTGCCAGATTGTCTCTTTCTTCAACAACCTGCGCAAGGGAGTGGCGATAGTGGAGAAGTTCCTCACGAACTTCCTGTAGTAGTTAGCTAGGCCTAGGAACGACCGCAACTCTGTCAATGTGCGGGGCGTCGGCCAATCTCTGATCGCCGCGATCTTGCTGTCCTCTGGCTTAATGCCATCTCCGTCCAACACGTGGCCCAAGTACAAGACTTGCGTCTTGGCCCACTCGCACTTCTTCGCATTGATCTTGAAGTTAGCCTCTCTAAGCTTCTGCAAGACCTGCCTCAGATGACCCTGGTGCTCGTGGAGGGTCTTACTAAAGACTAGGATATCATCTAAGTAGACTTCCACAAATTTATCTAACCACGGTCTAAACAGGTCATTCATACAACGCTGAAAAGTAGCTGGCGCGTTGGTCAGTCCAAAGGGCATCACTGTAAACTCATAATGCCCATATCTAGTCTGGAATGCAGTCTTGTACTGATCATCATGATGGACTTCTATTTGATGGTATCCGGACTTTAAGTGTATCTTAGAGAAATACTTACAACCCTGCACCCGATCTAAAAGATCGTCTATCCTGGGCAGCGGCTCAACATTCTTCACGGTGACCGCATTCAAACCCCTATAGTCTATACACATTCTCAGCTCTCCTTCCTTCTTGGGGACAAACAAAACGGGTGCTCCAAAAGAAGACGAACAGGGCCTGATCCAACCTTTCTCAAGGAGTTCGTCTAACTGCTTGCGAAGCTCCTCTAACTCTCTAGGGGACATCCTGTAGACTGCACCCTTAGGGGTTCTACTGCCAGGCTCTATCTCTATCCTGTGCTGGATGGGTCGCGACACTACTCCTGTCGGCGACTCAGTCAAGTCTTTGAATTCTTCCAGCAGCTTGGCAATTGTTGGATCTGTGCAACTATCCTTTTCCTGGGCCTCAGTGACAGGTCTGACATAAACTACAAAGACCTGGTCTTCTAACTGCTCCTTCTTTACTAATCGCGCGAATGCGGGAGCACTGAGACAGCAATGTGTCAAGGTGTTATCTACACCAGACACATGGAATGAGCGGGCAATCTTAACCTCGCCTGACGGGCTAGGGAGCCGACACTCATGCTCTCTCAAATGAAGTGTGGCCCCTGCTGCCTCTCCCCAATCCATTCCTAACACTATATCGAAAGGAAGGTCATCCTGCACGAGGAGAGTCAAAGAATGGAGGACCTTCTCCACTTTTCCATTCTTCTCTAGACGAAAGTACGCCTGGACTCCCTCTACGTAGTCCTCAACGCGCATCGTGCGGTTGTTTGCGAGGACACAGACTATGGGGTCTACTAGTTTCTGGACCTTTAGTCCTAGCCTCAGCTTCTTCAGCGCCCTACGGCTAATGTAACTACGGGTAGCCCCTGAGTCTATAAGGGCCCCTACTATACTTCTGAACACCTCAACATCTACCAAAATCAGTTGTCCCTTACTCTCCCTTTTCATTTTGGCCCAGGCTGGCATTTTCTCTCTTAACTCTCCTGCCACACCTGTGAGGGACGTGCCTAAAGAGACGCTAACACAAGCAGTCTCTGGACAGCTATCTAGGCACGGGCCTGCAACCTCTGCCATAGGCTCATGTGGGTTGGGAGTGTCCTGTTCGCGCGCGCTCACTTCTCCACATGGCCTGGAAGTAGGGGCAGTTGCGACCCCTACTGGCGGCTGCCTTTTGACTGCTGGGCAGCCCAACGGGCCTGTCTATACTTTGGGCAAAATTTAATTACGTGCGCCAGGTCACCACAGAATACGCACTGACCCAGGTTCACGCGTTCCTGCCATAAGCGTTGGTCCAAGCCCAGATCTTCCCAGGGTCTGCCCTGTGGCAAGCCTGGGTGCCATCCTCCTTGAGGTGCTCTTCCACCTCCTCACTGTGGGAACTGATTACCCTGGCGATTTAATGGAGGACCTTGACCCCTACCTCCCGCTTGGCGGTTTCCCTGTCCGCCAACCCTCTGTGCGCCCGGTCCTTGGCCTCCCATGGCCTGGCCCCTTTGACCCTGGCCTCCTCCTCTACCTTGCGGCCTCCCTCCGACCGCGACAGCAGCGTAAGACCTCCCCTGCCCTACACWACTGTACTCCTCCCCTAGGCCCCACTCAATCTGATCATATGGGACCTCTTCTGTACCACCCTCYTCTAATGTCAGGATCAAGTGATCYTTGGCCTTGACTTGGCCCGAGATGGTACGATCTTTCCACTTCTTCCCCTTCTCCAGGTCCTTATGCCAGAAAGTGGTAACTGGCATAGACTTCGACTCATACAGGACGACTTCTCTACTCAATGCATCGTAAGTCATGCCGGTCTGTTGAGATTTGTCAAAGAAATGCCCACGTAGGGCCTCTGGAATGGCACGATAAAACAACTGGACCAACTGGGCTCAGTGACCCCGTGGTCCGGGACAGCTACCAAGTCGTCCATGGTACCCTTGAGTGCCTTGGCACTCCTCCACTGCCGAGAGTGGATCGTTTGGAGCTTATTAGAGGCTCTAATGCCTCGCATTGGGTTAGCGAACCGCTCCTTGAGGAGCTTGAGGAATTGGGAAAGAGGAGTGACTTTGGAATATGCCACCAGGTTGTTTTCACAACCGGTTGTACGCGCAAGAGACCTGGCAAAACTAGCCGCTTCATCTTTGAGGGCCTGGAAGGCCACGAGGACTTGTTCCTCCGTCAGGATGTGCTGTAAGTAAATATAACTATTGACACAGGCTTCCCAGTTGTCAAAGTTTTCTTCCTTCTTTCCCCCGTACGCATCTGGGAACTTGAGTTTCACTGGGTCCTTACGGGGTCTGGCCTCTCCCTCTACCGCGGCTACAGCTTTGGCACCCTGAATGGCGCCCTCACAAAACTTCCCTACATTGTCTCTCAACTGCTTGACTTCGCCCCCAATGTGGGTGACAATTTCGCGCGCAAAATCCCTGAAACTGGACCGCATGGCACTCAACGCGACGTCTTGGCTCCAGCTAACCTGGCGCTCCTCCATCCAGGCCTTGCTCAACACCTCTAGGTAGCCCAGTACTTTGTCTCATTTGGCCTTGTCATCTGGCTGGCCCAACACCTCCGCTCTACACTCCTGCACCTTTGCCACTGCTGCGGTCATCTTATTCACTTCCTCTCTCCTCCTCTTCTTCTCCCTCTTCATCCTCAACTTCCATGCTAACTTTTGCTCGTCTTCCCTCTCTCTTCGTTCTATCGGGTCTGTCATGGCTGCTAGCTCAACGGCCAGCGCAGCCTTCTCATCCTTAGTCACATAGGACTCCGCCTCCTCGTCTTCCCCCAATGATAAATTAGCGACCCACTCGCTGATCTTCTTCTCCAGCTCAGTATTTGTCTCCCACTTCATCGTGCCACCACTGCTCCCTTCTCCACTCTCTATTCTCATTCTCTCTTTCTCTTCTTCTGCTGCCGCTTCTGCTTTAGCAACCTTCCTTCTTTCTTCCTCCTCCTGTTGTACCCTCTTCATCTCCTCCTCCAACCTCTTCATCTTCACCGCCTGCTCATCTGTGATAGCCTTTAGCTTCGCCTGCTTCTCGTGCTCTTTTCTCTCCTTGTTCTCTTTGACTAAGGCGGCCATCTTTTCTTGCTGCTCCTGGCTATAGGGTTTAGTCTCTAGCCCAGTATGGGTCTCCACCATGGTGATAGGTGCACAATCAGGATGATTCCACTCCTCACCACGTAGACTCTAACCTCTGACTGACAAACCTGTAGACTCAATCTAAGAACCCACAGAATCCTGACAAGGACCCTGTCAACTATGGTCTCTAGCCTAGACCTATGCTATGGCTGTCACTACTGAACCAGTGGCTGATCAGGAGGCATTTAAGGAGATCCCCTGTAACTCAAGAATTCTTTAACGCCGCAGACAAGACGACGTGATCAGCTTGGTTCTGCCTGTGCTTTCAGCCCACAACTCAGCCTTTCCAGCCTACTGTGCCGCACCGAGCAGCCCGCCGGTCTGTACCGGTCCTTGGGAGGGTTCGTATCCCCCGGGACAGTCGAGTCGTCAGACACAGACCATCAGCCTTACTTGGTCTGGTAGGGGAGTGGTTCCAACAGGCCCTCAACACTTAAAGACGGTCTCCGTTTCAGCTTGCAGCTCAGAGTTCGGACCCTCTACACTCAAACTGAGCAGACCTGCCGGACAGTACCGGTCATTGGGCTAGACGAGTTGTTTAACGAGCGCTCGCCACTCATGCCCAGATCTCCAGATACCAGAGTAGAGATTAGTCCTACTAAGTCCCATGTAGGTTTGGCAGCAAGGCCCTATCCTTCATCCACAGAGTTCTATGACCTAGGACATAAGAGACTCAATGCAGAAAGAATAGACAGACAGACTGTACTCAGCAAGTACCAAGGGGTATGCGCACATCCATAGGGCAAGGGGCAGGCTAAGGGTTTGGCGAGATGTTACCAACTCCAGCTTGGTCGAAGTCTTGGTCAACGCCTTGGTCAACGGCCTTTGTCAGCGCCGGTCAACGCTGCTATGTCCCTCGGTCAACTCCGGTCAACGCCTCCGGTCAACCCTCTCGGTCAACTCCCCGGTCAGCTATGGCTGCCGACACTTCTTCCTCGCCAATCCCTCTCTTCTTCCTTACCTCCCTCGCCGCCTTTCCCCCGCTGTTTTTTTTTTTTTTTTTTTTTTTGTCTTTTGTCGGCCTCCTCTTCACCTCCTAGCTATGGCCGCTTCTCTCCCTGCTCGGTGTCTCCACCTCTGTCCTTCTCCCTCCTACTTCGTCACTCCGTGGTACCGGCTCTGCGGCTATGGCCGTTGTCTTTCTTCTTCGTGGACTGCGCAGCAACTTCACAGGTACGTAACAACCAATCTTGTATCGCTCATCTCTCTCTCTCTCTCTCTCTCTCTCTCCCTCTCTCTCTCTCTCTCTCTCTCTCTCTCTCTCTCTCTCTCTC